GTTAAAGGTTTCAAGAAGGAAAAAAAGGAATGACTATATGTATTCTATGACTATAATCATTCCTATAATTTTTATCATAGTCAAAGCAAGCACATTGTTCTTCTGAGCCCTGACTAGATCATGCAGCTTCAGTCTACCTTCTCTCTCCATTTCCTGTCTCCTTCTAACACCCGTCGACCGTCCTCTGGTGTTCTTTGAAAATGTACGTGTTCCTTAGTTTGGCCTTTGTACCTGTCCCCTTGCCGCTAGCATTCTCCTCACTCGCCAGGCGTCCGGTCTGCCTGACAGAGCTCTAGTCCAGGGTCGCCTTATCACTGAGTCTGTCACAGAGCTGCTGGTTTGAACCATCTACCCCTCTCCTTCTCCCTTCCCTAACCCCTTCTTTGCATTAGCAATCATGTCACAGATTGTTGGCTGTCTTTCTACATTCACTAGAACGTGAAGCCCAGAGGGCATGTAGTCAAGGCCTGTTTTTGTTAACTGCTGTCTCCCCTGTACCTAAAGCATTGCCTGGCACTCAGGGTGCAGTTAATTATTAAGTAAGTGGATAAATGAATGAATGAAAACATGATTCACTGAGCATTTTGCTGTGGGTCATCTGTACTACATAAAAAAAAGAGAGAGAGAGAGAGAAAGAAAAAGAAAAAAAGAAATAGCCAGGTGGTGGTAGCATACACCTTTAATCCCAGCACTTGGGAGGCAGAGCCAGGCAGATCTCTGTGAGTTCGAGGCCAGCCTGGTCTACAGAGCAAGATCCAGGACAGGCACCAAAACAACACAGAGAAACTCTGTCTTGAAAAAAAAAAAAAACCCAAAAGTGAAAAAAAGAACAACTTTTACAATAACACATAGCATTACAATAATGTTGATAATTCTATGAAAAAGTTCTATTATCATGGTTCTTTGGGGAACAGTAAAGCAGACTGACCCCCAAAGGTCGGGACCCTGACTTGAATTTATGGAGTTGCTGTAGGAGGGAGGTCGGTTAAAAGCCCCAGTAGTAACAGGCATCCAGAGTTGCTGAGATGCTTATGTGGTAAACTACAACTCCTATCCAAGTCCGACCTCTTCTCAAGAGCTACAAAAGTTGTCAACAGATGCTTAAACAACATTTCAGGAAGTGTCCTCAGGCCGCAGTGTGCAGAGGGACATGGGGAGATAAAAGGCCATTAGATAGATGTCACATTAACTAGGGAGGGAACAAAAGACTTTGGAGTGGGCATAGCTGTGCAGCACAAGAGGAGGGACCAGAAAGACACACTGACAAGCCTGACGGACTCGGGCAAGAGGAGTCAAGGGGCTCTCAGGCCTGAGTCAACATGCTTTTGGTCAAAGACAACCACTGCCTTGGGAACTGTCATATTTTTGACTTATCTGCTCCCTGCATACTGATTATTGTATAGAATCATTTGAGTGGAAGTTAGCGGAGTTGGAGAACAAGAAAGGACAATCCAGTAGATTGTACAACTCTTGCTAATAATCTTCTACCTAAGCTTTGTTTTGCATAATTCCTTGTGATATTTTCTGGCAGATCATGACAATAATGAGAGCTATATGTACATTAATGATAATAGCACTACTTCACACAGAATTTTTCAATGGCTTTTAGTCCTTTAAATAAAGCTATTTCTACTACATAGAATTCTTCAATGAAAACCATGTATTTTATATCACTCAGAATCTATATTAACATGAAGATATTTCAAGATTCAAATTATATTTGATATTTAAGTTAAATGTAAAGAAATATACCTTAATATGTTGGTAATCTACATATAGCATAGTTTCTATTTTAAAAACACACAGGAATTATTTTGAAAAATCAAATTCCATTTTGACTGTGTACAAAAAAATATTCAAAGTATAAATGCACCTGCCAAGAAAAATGTCTACAAAGAAATGCTGTACTGAGAAAAATGGACCAAATGGAATATAACTATTCTGAAAACTGTTTTATCCAAACTTACTGAATTATTGATATAACACTAAATAGAACTACTTTAGAAGTCTTGAACTACTGGAATCCTAAAAATGGTAATAAAAAGAAGCATTAGGTTTCTTAGTGAATAATGCATTTATGATAGCCTTCATCCAAGCCATTATTCAGGCTGAAGGTATAAGTTTAAGACTAGACAAGCTGGCTCAGCAGATAAAAGCACTTGGTACACTGACCTAACCACCTTAGTTCAGTCCCAGAACCCATGTGGGAGGAGGGAAAAGACTCCCCAAGTTTTCTTCTCACATCCACACAGGCATCATAGAATGTGTCGACATTCATATACATACATTACAGACACACACATACACCACAAACAATAGTTCTTCAAAAGATTATATGAGCTAATGAATGACTCTATAGTATTGCCTATTTCTAAATTCACATTTGTGCCAGAAACAAGGTTAATAAGATGCACATGTCTTAACAAGCTGGTAACAACATGCCTTAATTTCAAAATTGATTTTTGAACAGGAAACCTTAAGTTGTATGTTTATATTTAATTACTACATTGTCACAGATATATAACAGTGTCATCAATTTAAACATATTTGAAACATACGTAAGGAAAATCTTGTTTAGTGCAGTAAATTGAGGGGTGTGTGCATGTGTATTTGTGTGTGTGTGTGTGTGTGTGTGTGCGCGCGCGCGCGCACGCGCGCGCCCAAGTGCTTGTATATTTACTCAAAAGTATATCTGCACCTTATATTACTCCTGATTCCCTTCTGGTAACAGACGATGCTCTCCTTGGCTCCCAACCATTTTTCCTGCAGTGAGATTCAAGAATTATATGTACATGTATTTGTAGCTGAGAATATATCTTGGCAGCAGATTTGCAAATAATCTATAAGACATGTAGGGGAAATATATTCAGTTTCTTTGGTTATTTGATTTTTCTTAAATATTGCATTAAAATATGCTAGTCTAATTTTATATGATTAGTCTTTTTAAATCTCTGATTTAATGTGACCATGCACCAAAGACTAAATTAGAAAATGCCATGTATGTTAGTCTCCATTTACAATAAAATGTAAAATTCTCTTACTTTCCTTTGAAATATTCCCCTGAAATGGAATACCCGATTTTAGTGAATGATGTTTTTTCAAGTGGCAGAGTCAGATTTACAGTGGGAATGCAACCTTTGTGAATGGAACATATACATCCTCCGTCTAAGCACTGAATAAACGCAATCCTCATCATAGAGTTTCCTTTCCACCCTCAGCAGGTCAGGAAGGGAAACACTCCAGAGACACTTGAGAAGATGGAGTCCTGGGCAATGATAAACCCAAGACTTTTCTTCCTTCTTGGATCCCCTATCACAGCTTGCAACTTCTGCCCTTACTTAGCATTGACATTCATTCCCCAAACAATTTACACAGTGAGGAAATGATTAACCATGTTTATGTGCTAAAGGAAAAGAACTGGTATAGAAGAGCAGGCTGATACAGATGCAGGGGTAATTGATTGGGAAAGGTCCCCCCGGGCAGAGGCAACGATGGATTCCAGAGTCTACCTGATGAGTTGGCCTTGCAAGGAGGAAGGGCTCTTCTTCCTCTGAGGTCCATGTGGGCTTGGGTTGATGAGAGATGTGATCTGGATGGGATTTACACCTGATGGTCTATTTTCTCTGCAAAATCTAAAATGGAGAATTTCAAACGGGGAGCAGGATGGGTGGGAATGCCCACAGATATGTGGATAGCGAGCCTATTAAAAACACAGTTGGTGAGTCTGGTTGTTCAACAGAGTTAAGTCAAGGAGGAATGAGAGTTGGTATGATACGACACACATTCAGTAACCCAAGGCTGATTATAGAGGAAATGAGTCTTCCTGTGGGGGCTCTTCAAAAGAGGGGTGGGGAACAGGGTCTCTGGATCTTTCTAAACACTTTGTCTGTTTAATTTTTAAAATTCATGACCTATTCTCCCCTAGTAATCATGCTCATGTTTCATGCCATGTTACAGAGTATGAATGTCAGATGCTGATTAATGGGAACGTCCCACAATGAAAATAAGCCGTTAGGGTAGTGTGACGCACTAAAGACCTTTTGTGTAAATAGCATCTATAAATTCACTAAAACACACCCAAATCAAATACGTTTCTCAAGGAACTAAAAGGAATGCCTAATACCTTTCTGTACAAGTAGACCGAAGGAGTCAGAAATGAGGTTGTAGCTCAGTGTGTACTTTTCCACTGTCAGAAAGCCATGTCTTAATCTAAATTAAGCCAGCAGATCCTAACACTGACTTTGTGGTTGAGAACTGCTTAATTTCATAACTGTCACATTTGCATTTTCTAAGTAAATACTCCCCTTCATCTCACTAAGTTCTGTATTCTGCCGGCCTCTCGGATAGCAGTGTGACAGCAGCCGCCGACATCCCTGCTCCCTTCTCGGGGGCACACCAGGGGCTGCCTGTAGCCGTGGCCACCCCTAGTTTGTAAATAAGATTTTGTGTGGGTCACATGACAACATTTCCTAGGAATAAAATACAACATGCTTCTCTGTGTAGCTTTCAAGCCTGCTTACCAGGGGTGTACTGATAAAGGCACCATGTAATGTGTCCATTTTCTAGAGAATGGTGTTGCATTCTAACTGCTTCTAGCAACGATACCCCGCCCCCCGTCCTCCAAATGAGACTGATTTGATAGATTGGCAGGAATATCAAGAAGCAAATGCACTGGGACCCCAAACATTTTCTTTCTAAAAGAAATCAGATCCCTCTTGTATGTGGCTAATGGCTTTCAAAAAAAATCAAATATATATATATATATATATATATATATATATATATATATATATATATATATTTGGAGAGAGAGAGAGAGAGACCCACTTTGTATTTATTTCCTTTGTATTCCCGAGATTTTCTTTTTCAGCATTTTTCACTACAGCAAAGGGAACTTTATAGAATAGAATGACTTAGTTTTGATGGTTGGTTGTTTGGTTCATCATCTAAGCTTAAATGGCAGTAGTATTGTGTTAATTGAATTGTTTTTCCTCTTTTAGGGACCTCTGGGGCCTCCAGGACAAAAGGTAGGGTGTGTGTAGCAGTGTCAAGAAAGTTGTCTAATGAGAGCAAGAGAAGTGGGTGGAATTGTTGAACATAAATGGTGCTGAAGGAGTTAGTATCCTTTGTTCATTCTGCTTTCTAAAATATTTTCTATTTAAACATTAGAAAGTGCCTCAGATTTCCACTCTACTTCATTGTAGAATACTCAGTAAGTCCAGAGAAGACTTTTTGAGCTGTCTGCTGCACTTGTAGGTCATGGAATATTTAATTCAAATATTGGTAACACATTCTGACAGCATTTAAAACAAGAAGGATCATGTGACACTGCAAATTGATTGCTGGCCTTGGTCAACTATATAACTGCCAAATGGCCACAGAGCTGACCCTAATAGAGGATCTGCGTCTTGCTTCATTCATTGCGCTGCTTGGCTCTCTCGGTGTCCCCCTTGGCTGGGTAAACTGAAAAATGACTTCCTGATTATGATTTCAGTCTTAGCCACAGTCACCAAAGTACAGTCTAAAGGGGAGGACCTAGGGCTCTGAGGTCACGCCAATGGAACAACAGTAAATAGAGCAATAGCAGAGAGTTGATGGCTCTTTGCCAGTGAACACTGCTAGGTCCCATTCACTGCTAACCTCCCACCCTGAAGAGGGAGAGAGAGGATGTCTAACTTGCAGAAAACAATTGGGTTGTAACAGGTGGGAAAGTGATTGCTCTTTATCTTTGGTCTTCATCAAAGATAAAGACTTTTTATCCCCAAGTGCCTGGCATGTGGCATCTGTTGAAACATAATCCTTCAAACCAAGTCAAGGCCCTGCACTGTGAGACATCTTGCATGCCGGAACAGTTTGTCCTTCACAATAATGTCTCTATTAAGCTCAGTGTGAAATTGTAAAGCTAGCCTGATCCACGTGCAACCAGGATAAAATGCCGGCTCCAGGCTTCAAGATCTTTAATTCCCAACCCATAGGATCATGGGCTGCATTAAGAAACTTGCCAGCTCAATTTGTTTGGCATATACTTTTTCTCTAGTGGGCTATTTTTAGAGCAGTTTCATGATAATCATGACTATTTAATGAAAATTCTTCCATTATTACAAAAGAAATTTAATAGACAACTAAAAAAAACAATTTTCTTGTTCTACACTATGAATAAGCAAAAACAAACCAAAAAACCCCCACAAAAACACCTTCTCCAGAGCCTAAGGGGATGGGGGGGAATGACATTGCCTTTTGAAAATATTTACCAATACTCCCTGTATTCACTTAAATGTCATGGGTTGTCTCAAATAGTGACTGGCTTTCCTACCATCACTTGAGCCATCTACAACCAGCTGTTCATTCTCAGCCAGTGGGTATATATGCTCATGTTTACATGCACAAGCATCTTCAACCTCAAAATACAGAAGTTGTGTTGTTTCGGGTCAGCACACAACATTTGTGATGCTTTCTTGAGTCCACTTCAGAAGCCATATCAATACTAGGTGACATAACCATAGTCCCTGAAGGTCCAGAGGGAAGTGATCCAAATATAACAAATTTGCATTTCCAGCATAGAGCCCTCCTGTCATAGAGTAAGCAGTTGCTTTTTAAATTACCTTCTGTTTTGTCTTCTATAAATTTGGCAAATTCAAGAGTCACTGCTACTGCTCGGCTTTTTCCTGGTGGAACTAAATTATCTATGTCTTTAAAACAAAATTTAGAGCCCCGTGGCCTCCTGAAAGGTACGGCTTTCAATTTAGATGAGATTCTTTATATCATGTTAGAGTTAAGTGAGTATTCAGAAAGAATATTAAACTTTATCTCTACTTCTTCCTGGGAAAGTATGAAGATCTGTCTGGATTACTAAATATTAGAACACAGTGGATAAAATCTAGAAAACAGAGCCTTAAAACCTTGTGTAAGGGAATTGTAGTATGTTTTAGCCATGTAACATTGTGGTTGACCTAATAAACACTGCAGAGATTTAGAACTGGAATATTGATCATGATATCAACTTAATTTAATCATGTGCTTCCTTAGGGTTCCATCGGAGCACCTGGGACCCCAGGCATGAATGGGCAAAAGGTGAGTTTGCTGATTGTAGCATGTATTGGATAATTTGGAGACTGTTAGAGTAACCAAGTCATTCGAGGGAGTGGTGTTATTAGTAAACTTGTACGTTTGCAAATACAAGAAAGCCATGGAACAAATGTTCGACTGAGTTGACTTTAAAGAAGCAGCAATCCCAAGCTAAAGCTTTTCCACTGTAAGTATTCTGGATGTGGTCCATTTTGTTAAGTTATTGTAGATGATGTAAGGGAGAGAGGAGATGCCGTACTTAACATTCAAACAAGACATACTAGTTCATTCTGGTCATGGGTAAATTAATACGTGCTATTTCTTTGATTAACAAAAGTTATTTATATAATGAGAACCCATTAAAATCTTCTGAACAAGAGCAAGCTCTGTTCACTGTTAAGCAAACTTGAGAACAAAATGGACTTCCTATACACTGTAACTATTAACTTCTGGTGTGCTGTTAATGAAGGGAATCAGAAATAAAGAGAAGTGTATGCATTAACACAAACACACACACACACACACACACACACACACACACACACACACACACACACACACACACACACACATGTGTCTTTGCATGTGTTTATTTCCATAACATATTTGTCATTTGGAGAAAGCATCTAATGTTATCCCACAGATAAGCCTGGTGTCTGTGCACTTAACATGCTTACCAGCTCTCCAATCTGGAACCTCTACAGAGATGAACAAAGCCACTGTGGGAGCTAACAAAACCCAGAGCTGGCCTAGTTCACCAGGGTCCAGGAAGCTGAGCTTGGGACTTTCCTGTCTCCCTTCAAAATCTCATGACTCATCTACTCATCTTCCAGAATATTTTAAAGCCCTGTACCCTGGACCAAGTTCTGAAATCACATAAGAATCCCAGCTCTCACTGAAAGAACAGACTTGAGCATAGGCTTTTCCTCTTGTCTACCTTCCTTTCTCTCTGAAAACCTCTTAAACCTACAAAGTAGCTAAGAATATGAGCCCAGCACTTAGATGCTGTGTAGATTCTGCCTAAGTCTTTGAATTTTCTCACCTCCTTTTCTGCCTCCATATGAGGGAGATGATCATAATTCCTGCCTCAAAGGTCCATGTAGGGATTAAATGTATTAATAAGCCTTTATAACAGTGTCATTACTATTAAACTTTTCCTATATTTTATTTTAGTGGAAGGCTAACAGTTTGATTGATCTGTATTTCAAAGAGACAGTTCAGAATTACTCAAATTCCAAGGAAAATCAATATTCCAGATCAGGGCTCCTAGTACCTTTATTACATAAGCCAGATGCTGAGTACTCATCCACAGCCCATGCCAGGAACCCATTTATATTCAGTAAAATGTACATTCCTCTCTCCTTTCCTCAATCCTGGTAAAGATAGAAGACTGACTTTCTTTTTACAACACTGTAGATCATGGGGGGAAAACATGATCAAAACTTTGAAAAGTACTTGCTATAAGGGAGATTTAAAGTCGCATAATTTGAGATGTTTTTGACATTGGTAAAGACCAAACTTGCAGGCACACTTAATGTTTTATTTTTGTTTTTGTTTTTTTTTGTCCAACTTTGAGTACCATCATGAAAATTTATAGAAACCTTTAACCTGAGAGAAAACAACTTGAAAACTGTCTTTTGAAGACTTCAATTTTTTTTATTTTTACAGGGAAATGCGCAATTTCCTTAGAAAGAGAAAGGAATGTGACATTTTCTTGTCCTAGTCACTGAGTTTAAATTATGTATCAAGGAAACAGCAGTGAATAGTCACAGCTTTATGTATTGCAGTATATCTTTGCAGCGTTTTAAATGTGTTTTCTCTAAAACAGTGGGAAGCCAGCATCTGCCTTCTGAAAAGGTATGAGCACAGGCAGTGAGAGTTATTTTTCCTACTTCATAGACCTGGAACTAAAACACTGTGGATAGAACATCCTTTAATCCTCACTAGTACTTAAAATTGTCATGGCAGCTAGATCATCTTTAGGAAGAGAAGTACAGAGGGATTCTTCTTCACCAAGACAACCAGTCTCTGCAGCAGTAAGAGCAAAGTTGGCAATAATTCTACAGTTGGAGTGTCTTAAACTTCTAGAATGTATTTTTCTAAGAAGAAAGTTTACAATGACATCATAATTTCTTAAAAGAACTTTAGTGTCCTGTAACTGTCTTACAAGAATGTTTTCTTCCACGTTACAATTCCACTTTTTCCAAAGTAGCATTTTTGATGCCTAGAAAGTAATTTTCTGGCTACAGTTAAGGGAAGGTGTGAATTTTAAGCCATCAAAAATTTGGAAAGTAACAGCTAGACAGAAAAAATGGTTTTCTGTTGTGTTAGACAAAAGAACACTATTTTAAGAAAACATTTTATTTCCCACCACAATATTTTCAAGCCATTCAGGTCGACAAAATTGATGATTGGTTTTAGACAGTAAACTTGATGATGACTTAGTTTCACATTTATTTTATTTTAAATATTGGCCACTTTGATTAGCAACCTGAATGTTTATTTACTTATTCTGCTGTGTACCTGTCACTTATTTTCAATAATGCTAATGGAATTTTCAGTATGGATAGAGGTCAGTGCCCATTGAAGGCTGCAGCGTGGTATGGAAGGAAGGATCAGTGCACTCAGTGTGTCCAGCCAGTGACTCTTCAGTGTAAGTGGTGTGGCCCGTAAAGGAAGGTTTGTAATGCCCACCTATGCAATTACTGGTGAAGACTGACTAACATGTATTTATGGTATGGTCTTCCAATTCTTTATATTGTACTTAGTAAGTAGACTTACATAACAGTGACATGGTATTAAAATCTAGCCTGGCTCCTTCTGGCATCAACCTGTAAAGGAATACTAAATGGTCTTCTATGAAAAGTCGGGGGGCAGGGTAGTGCAGCAAGAAGAATGGTACCTCCTAGCCTGAGAGAGAATGCTCCATGTCTTTGTCTGGGCACACTATCAACATTCTTATGGCTCTGTTTAAAAGACAGAGGCCGTATAGTGCTAGCTAGACAAGGTAACTGAAGTCAGTGATATTAATAGATGCTCAGTATCTCTAGTTATACTCACGTGTTTTAGGAGTCTCAGCACTTCAACTCAAGCAAAGAGAAGAACCCCTTAAAGTCAACATAGGATGAAAATTAATATGCAGAGTCACAGAGGAAGCTGGAATCTCCCTCTGAGTCCTGTGGCCTCTCCAGCCCACCTCCCACGCAGGAGAGAATGAGTAGACAGAATGGTAGGACTTGGGGGACAGGAAAAAGGACACATCACGTATGGCTTCAGAAGTGCAGGCACCACTAGCTAACGTCTCCAGTCCTGGAGGTGACAGCCTGTGTTCTTTGAAGAATTCTTTCCTCTCTGGGCTCAAGGGGGTAGCTTTATCTACAGAAGAAAGGACTGTGTGAGTTTATTTTCATATCCCCTAATGACACAGGTCCCAGAATGTCATTCATGTCACACTGCCCATTCAACAAACTTCTAGCATCTTTTGTTCCCTACTCTGAGAGCTGGTTTATCATACTTTGCACTGGTTTCCAGGAGCCAAAGCAGGTCAGATGCCATACAAAACCCTACCAAAAATATGAACAGTTGCTGCTAGTTATGTTGAACACAAAAATAAGTTTTGTAATTCTCATGTATACATCCTGTTGGTCAAAACTATAGTGAACATTTTATTTGTGCGCTATGTTGACCTGCACACAGGCAAATGCAACCCATGGACTCAGTTACACCCTGTTCCTGGAGAAGTGCTCTCTGGGGAAGTGTGGCTACTTAAAGTATCATCATTAAACTGAAGAAGCATTTAGCAGAATTTATGGAATTTTCTACAGTTTTGTTAGAATATTTGGACATCAGTTCTTTCAAAATCTATACTCATAAAAGGTGTTATTTTAAACCCCTTATTTTTCTTTTCTTTCACATTTACCTTACTTGGCTCAAGCACAGTAAACTCTTTGCCAGAATAATTTGAGTAGCAATTAGTGCAAATGCTATGAAAAGAAATCTGGTAACAGATAAGTGGTACATGAAAGGCCCAGCATATGTATGTCTCAGCTGAAATCCTTTTCCTTTATCACCAGAAAAGAGTGTCAACTGTTTTCATGATTAAAAGCAAATTATTTTTGCTGTGAAAGCTAGGATTTCTCAGAGTTCTGAGTCATAAGGATTCTTGCCAAAGCAAGAAGAGCATAGATGATCTTAGCCACTATAGTTTTCAAAGGCTTTTTTAGATCATATTTTTTTAAGTTTAAAACATAATGTAAAAAATTGAGACCAATGTGTCGTCTATGAATCTACCCCAGATAGCTGTGTGGTTTTTAAGTGGCATTAAATTTTCATTAGCTTGTAGCCATGGTATTTGGAATGCTGTTTCATCTCTTACGCAGGAGTCTCATAGTTCTTAGCTGACATTCGTCTTCACAAAATACTTCTAATGGCATTTTTTATTGTAAGTATATTTAGAGAACAGATAAATGGAAGCTTCCAGACTTGCAAAGGTCAAGCCATTGACTCAAGTCTACACAATTAAACCACACAGTGAACCCAATATTTTGTGCTTGATTCAGTCAGTGTAACCATTAAACACAATGTCTTTCTTGTTTCAATCTTTTTAAAAGAAGGATTAAGGCCTGAAGATGTAGGTCAGCAATAAGTGTCTGCTTGTCATGTATGCAGCTAAGATTCTGTCTCTAGCTACTCCCAACTTTGAATTAAATTCTTGAAGGATTTCAATATGTTGTAGGTCTATTTGCTATTGCCTAAAAGTTTCCTGTAGCAGAACTTGCCAGTGAGCTATTTAATTGTGACTTTTTATAGTTGTCCAATGAGTAGAAATAGTAAGGAAAAGAAATGGCTGATTTCTGATTCCAGATTAGTTAATGGTTCATGGAAATTATCTGATAATAATTTACTCCTTGTATTGGTTAACGGTGGGAACTGAATTACATTTATTACATTTCCCGTCTTCTTAGAGATTATGAAAACTAGAATCCTAAGAACCTAAGACCACTGTT